AAAGTGCTTTCACACATGCTCACTTACCCATGCCCTCAAGAGTCAAAACCAACCTTATTCCTGTTGCCTCATCCGATATCCTGTCTCCTCTAATTCCTTACCTTCTAACATCAGTTTTTGCCAGAAGAAATGGAAAGACTGGGAATTTAGATTCATTTATTCGTTCAAACCTTATGCATTTATTTTGCACCAAACCACTGTTCTCCCTGGCAGAGAACAAAACAGCCCCAGATCCTCCCCCTCATGGAGCTTACTGGGGGAGATGGGTATCAATAAATAAGCATGCAAATTCCCACGCATTGCATTTGTAATTATTAAAATACAATGAACTCAAACCTCAGTTTGAATCCTGGCTCTGCCACTTGCCAGCTGTGTGACCCTTGGCCCTTGATGGCTCTTGTTTCTTGGAGAAAGACCTGGCGATCTGATTCCGGAAAGATTCCAGCCTACAAAACCCTAAGGGGCAGTTCTACTCTCTGAATGGACTCAGAGCCCCCAACAACAACAACAAAGTGGGGATAATAGTACTTACCTTGTAGGGTTGCTGAGAGAGGGCAGTGGTGGGTCAGTGGTAGAACTCTCACCTCCCATGCCAGAAACCTGGGTTCCTTTCCCGGCCAATGCGCCTCAAGCACAGCCACGACCGGTCTGTCAGTGGAGGCTTTTGTGTTGCTGCAGAGCTTCCAGACTAAGGTGGACTAGGAAGAAAGGCCTGGCAATCTACTTCCAACAATCAGCCAGTGAAAACCCTGTGTGTCATAACAGTTCAATCCTCAACTGAGCACGGGATCTCATGGGTTGGGGGCTGACTCCACGCAGCTAACAACAGTAGGGTTGCTAGGAGGCATTATCGAAGCAGCCTATAGGAAGGTCCCAGCATGGTGCGTGGTGCACAGTGGCAGCTCAGAGCATGTAAGCACCCGCCCTGTGTCCCCTTGTTCAGCACTCCCTCCTCATGCTGAACTCACAGCCACCTTCTGTGTGAGGAGCCCTCGCAGCAGCCTGGCAGCCACAGTGATAAAACATACAGGCTCATCTCTCAGAAGTCTCCAGGTGGCCGGGGAAGGATTGGAAGTACTCAAGGAAAGATGGGGTTAATGCTGCCGGAGCCGGGCAGAGGGAGAAATGTGTTCATCCTATGGATATCAGGGAGGACTGCATGGAGGGGGTGGTATTTGAGCTAGACCTTAAAGCAGTGGTTCTCAAACTTTGGTGTATGTCAGAAAACCCAGGGGAATTTAAAATGCAGACTCTCAGACCTCATGGCTAAGTGATTCTGGTCCAGTGAGGCCACGGCTGCTGTTGTTAGGTGCCGTCCAGTCGCTTCCGACTCACAGCGACCCATGTACAACAGCATGAAACACTGCCTGCTCCTGCACTATCCTCACCGTCGTTGTTATGTGTGAGCCCATCAGTGCAACCAGTGTGTCAGGCCATCTCATTGAGGGTCTTCCTCTCTTTCCCTGACCCTCTACTTCACCCAGCGTGATGTCCTTCTTCATGGACGGGTCCCTCCTGAGAACACGTCCAAAGTACGTGAGACGAAGTCTCGCCATCCTCACTTCTAAGGAGCACTCTGTCTGTACTTCTTCCAAGACAGATTTGTTCATTCTTCTGGCAGGCCATGGGATATACAATATTCTTCACGAACATCATAATTCAGATGCATCAATTCTTTTTCGGTCTTCTTTATTCATTGTCCAGCTTTCACCTGCATATGAGGCGATTGAAAACACCGTGGCTTGGGCCAGCTGCACCTTAGGCCTCAAAGTGACATCTTTGCTTTTTAACACTTTGAAGAGGTCTTTTGCAGCAGATTTGCTCTGTGCAATGCGTCGTTTGATTTCTTAACTGCTGCTTCCATGGGCGTTGCTTGTGGATCCAAGTAAAATGAAATTTTTGACAACTTCAATCTTTTCTCTGTTTATCTTGATGTTGCTTATTGATCCAGTTGTGAGGATTTTTGTGGCATAGCTTTCAGCATCACAGCAATATGCAAGCCACCACAGCACGACAAACTGACAGACAGTGGTGGGAGGTCAGGGCAGGGCCTGGAAATATGCATTTAATAGGCAACAGGGGACAGGTTTCAGCTGAGCTTCCAGACTAAGACAGACTAGGAAGAAGGACCCGGTAGTCTACTTCTGAAAATAGTAAGCCAGTGAAAACCTTATATATACCGGTGGGACATTGTCTGATATAGTGCAGGAAGATGAGCCCCTCAGGTTGAAAGGCACTCAAAATATGACCGGTGAAGAGCTGCCTCCTCAAAGTAGAATTGACCTTAATGATGTGGATGGAGACAAGCTTTCCAGACCTTCATTTGCTGATGTGGCATGACTCAAAATAAGAAACAGCTGCAAACATCCCTTAATAATCAGAACGTGGATTTATGAAATATGAATCTAGGAAAATTGGATATCATCAGAAATGAAATGGAATGCATAAACATTGATACCCTAGGCATTAATGAGCTGAAATGGACTGGCATTGGCCATTTTGAATTGGACAGTCATATGGTCTACTATGCCAGGAATGACAAATTGAAGAGGAATGGCATTGCTTTCATCGTCAAAAAGAACATTTCAAGATCTGTCCTGAAGTACAATGCTGTCAGTGATAGGATACTATCCACACGCCTAAAAGGAAGACCAGTTATTATGACTATTATTCAGATTTACGCACCAACCACTAAGGCCAAAAATGAAAAAATGGAAGATTTTTACAAACTTCTGCAGTCTGATATTGATTGAACATGCAATCAAGATGCATTGATAATTACTGGTAATTGGAATGTGAAAGTTGGAAACAAAGAAGTATCAGTAGTTGGAAAATATGGCCTTGGTGATAGAAACTATGCTGGAGATCTCATGATAGAATTTTACAAGACCAATGAGTTATTATTCGCAGATATCATTTTTCAACAACATCAGTAGTGACTGTACACGTGGACCTTGCTGGATGGCATACACAGGAATTGACATCATCTGTGGAAACAGACAATGGAAAAAGCTCAATATCATCAGTCAGAACAAGGCCGGGGGCCGACTGTGGAAGAGACTGTCAATTGCTCATATGCAAGTTCAAGTTCAAGTTGAAGCTGAAGAAAATTAGAACCAGTCCACGGGAGCCAAAGTACGACTTTGATTATATCCTACCTGAATTTAGAGACCATCTCAAGAATAGATTTGATGCACTGAACACTAATGACTGAAGACCAATAAGCAACATCATGATAAACGGAGAAAAGACTGAAGTTGTCAAGGATTTCATTTTACTTGGATCCACAGTTAACACCCATGGAAGCAGCAGTCAAGAAATCAAACGACATAGTGCATTGGGCGAATCTGCTGCAAAAGACCTCTTTAGAGTGTTAAAAAGCAAAGATGTCACTTTGAGGACTAAGGTGCTGCTGACCCAAGCCATGGTGTTTTCAGTTGTCTCATAGGCATGCGAAAGCTGGACAATGACTAAGGAAGACTGAAGAAGGAATTGACGCCTTTGAGTTATGGTGTTGTTGAAGAATGTTGAATATACTATGGACTGCCAAAAGAATGAACAAATGTGTCTTGGAAGAAGTACAACCAGAATGCTTCTTAGAATAGAGGATGATGAGACATCAGGGAAAGCGAATCACACTTCCACAATTCCCGAATAGCATTTGTGTCTAAACATATTCTTGTAGATAACGAGTTGCAGCCTATTGCTTCTAACAGAGGGGGCAGCTGAAAAAGGCTGGCTATGTGGTAGCCTTTGCTTGGAGGGCCCAGGTTCCACAGATGGACATCTTCCCTGTAACTCCACCAGAGTAGTCCCTCCATCAGTCCTCTGGAGGAGGCGGGTCCCACGGATTAGCTAATGGAGCAGGGAGGACTCCAGTCCTTGGTGACTCCCCCAGGCATGGTATGTGCTGACTTCCTGGCACCAGAATTGTGTCTTCCGGTCAGCTTCCAAGTCCACTGCATTGGAGGGAGGTGGTTAAGCCAAAATGCCACGGCACCTGCAGTCGGCAGCAGGCTTGGGATGCTAGCTCTATCATCATTTAACTGCGATCCCTTGGTCAAGAGCCTTTGCCCTGGGGCCTGAGTTTCCTCATCTGTAAGATGGGGAGGTGGCTTGGTTAACTTCCAGGGGGTCCTTTCAGTCCTCACATGCTGGGACTGTACAAGGGTGGGGGTTTACCAGTCCCCTGAAAGCCAGAAGGCCCCACAAGACCAGAGCCCTCTGCTTGGCCCTTCTCTGGGCCACGCAGCTTAACTTTTTCCTGGCCCAGAACCTTCACTCCGTTGCCCTCTGTTGGTCTGTAGAACAAGGATCCCACCTGCCCTCACCACATCATTGCCTCTGCACCCTGGCTGCACATTAGAATCGTCCAGGGAGCTTTTAAAAACATCGATGCTGGTGCCTCACCTCTAGAAAGTATGATTTCATTAGGCTAGGGTGGGCCCTAGGCGTTGGTATTTTTTAAAAGCTTCCCAGGTATTTTCTCCTCTGTGCAGCCAGGGTTGAGACTCACTGACAGATGTTGATGGCTAGGGGTTGAAGGGTAGCAGCTTGGGGGTAGGAGTGAAAACAGCTTCCTGCCTCTGGCCGATTGTCCCATTGTCCCTGCTGGTGCCCACACTACAGTGGCCACAGTATATTCTCGTTACCTGGGTATAGGCAGGCTTGTCTTCGTGGCTCAGGACCCTGGGGGCAGGGATTTAACATCCTGGATCTCCTCTCCTGGTATGCTGTAAAAAGGTCCCTGCATGGTGGACAGGTTTGCAATTAGCTGCTAACCTAAAGGTTGGCTTTTTTAACCCACCCAGTGGCTCCGTGGGTGAGAGATCTGGCAAACTGCTTCTGTAAAGATCACAGCTAAGAAAATCCTATGGAGCAGTTCTCCTCTGTAATACAAGGGGTCGCCCTGAGTCAGAATCCACTCTAAAGCAATATATTTTTTTGTTTGTTTTTAATTGGTATGCTGTAGGTGCCCACGTAGAACTAGCCCAGTACAGCCCTCCTGCAGCCCCTCGGCCGCCTGGAGCACCTGCCCCTAATTCAGGCTTCTGGAAAGGTTGCTCATCCACTCCGGGGGTGTGTGGACGGTGTGAGTGGTGGGCTCCACGGTACGACTCAAGGAGGAAGCAGTTCCTCCGCCTTCAGCTCTTACTGTTAAGTGGTTCCTCGGCAACCACCCAGCCTGACACCAGATTGGAGTTCACATGATTCTGTCTCAGCTCCGGAATGGGCAGCCTGCAGCTGGGGATTTTCTAGACGCGAGCTGGGGAGGCGCAGGCTGTGGGACATCGGCGCGAGGAAGCCTGGTCCTGGCAGCAGGGTCACATGTGAGGGGACCACCAGGCGGGCCCACGGGCGTCGTCGGGTCTCCTCCTCGGGCCTCTGTGGAGCCGCCGCCGGAGGAAGCCTGCTGTTTGCAGTTTGAGAGCAGAGCTCAGCTGGGGGCCGGCAGGGCGGACTCATTCCTCCGAGATTCCCTCCTCGGAGGACCCCCTCCGCCCTGATTCCAGGAGCCGGGCCGGGACTCCGCTGCCCGCTCCTGCTGGCTGCTCACCTGGCTGCGGAGACTGCGCTGCCATCCTGGGGTGCTGAGGACCCGGGAAAGGTCAGGCAACCCAGGCTGGGTGATAGAGACCCAGTAGTGGGTTGGGAAATCGATTTAGTAGCTCATGACCTGGATTTAAAAAATGAAATAGAAGAAAAAGAGTGCAGCGCAAGTGGTAAGGGTAAGTATTGCTTTGGGGAAGTTTCGTTTCCATGTCTATCTCTGTCTCTACAGAAATAGACCTGGCAATCTGCTTCCATAAAGATTACAGCCTAGGAAGCCCTGTGGGGCAGTTCTACTCTGTCATGTATGGTCGCTATGAGTCACAATTGATTGCACGGCACACAACAACGACATATCTATATCTGTCTATACATGTGTATATAATGTCTTGTGTGCTGGTTCACATTGTAAAGTGTGTTTCTTGCTGTGGCTTGTGGTCAAAAAAAGTTTAAAAGCAGCAAGTTAGTGCCTGGACACCTGGGTTCTACATTCAGATCCACCCTTGACCTACTATGTGAACCTGAGCAATGGCCTTAAGTCTCTCTGGGCTTCGGATTCTGTCAAATGATTAGCAGGGCCAGCCGCACCTGACTCCCAGGGCCTTTGGGGGATTGAACTTTGAAACAGAAATGGGATTCTCTCATTGTTCCCGGAGTTAGGCTTCTTAGGGGAAAGACGCAATCTGATTTATAGTTCCTCTTCAGAGGGAAATAGCCAACAGCCTTTGAAACAAGCGCTTTTAGGAAGTGCAACAGACTGGTTAAAGCGTGGAGAGATTTGAGCAGTGAAAGGGAAGGGTGGCTGGGCCTGCAGGAGATTCCCCAGCACTGTGGGCTTGGGGCCATCATGGGCATTCCCCTGCCCCGTGAGTAACTGTCTGTGTGTGTGCTATGCATACCACACAGAATGAGTGATGAATTAGATTACTGTTTATATGCTAGCTGAAACCCAGCGTTCAGACTCCTTCATCTCACTGACTATTCTGACTTGGAACCTGCGAGAGACTCATGCTTACGTGGAAGAGGTCCTTCTTTCAGTCGGGGCTTAATTCTTCTCGGTCATTAAAATCCTTGGAGACCTTCATGCTAATTAGCATTTGTCTTAAGATTTGCATTTAGTTTTTGAGTTGCTTTGTGTGTAGTTTTCTCAATTTCTTGGCTGGATGGTAAAGTGTTAGGGGGAGAGGCAGTGATGTCTTGTTTTGATTCTACTAATAAACTTTGGTCTGTATACATTTGCCTTGTCTTTTTATATAAGTGAGTCATACAATATTTGTCCATTTGTGATTGACTTATTTCACTCAGCATACTATCTTCAAGCTCCATCCATACAATAGCATGTATCAAGACTTCATTTCTCCTACTGCTGAGTAGTATTCCATTGTATTTAGGTACCACATTTTGTTTATCCACTCATCTGTTGCTGGGCATTTAGGTTGTTGAAATGATACCTTCTGACCAGCTCAGGCAGCTTGAGGAGGTGCCAGACTGGTGGGGAGGAAATCACAGCAATTTTTCCTTTTCTCTTTTCTATTTCTGTTAATGATATCTCCACTCTCAAGTCCCAGCCTCATCATCCATCCATCCATCTACCCTTCCATTCATCCATCTACCGCCACCCCCTCCATCCATCCACCCACCCATTCATTTACCTATCCATCTACCCATCCACTCATCCATCCATCCACGCACCCATTCATTCGCCTATCCATCTACCCATCCACTCACTCATCCATCCATCCATCTACCCACCCACCTAATAAATCCATCTATCCATCTAACAATTTTTAAGAGCCTATAACGACCAGTCACTGAGGAGTATCTCATATTTGTTTCTGATTGTTCCCCACTTTCCTTCTAATTAATTGCCGGTTTCTATGGTTTCTTGTTGTTTCCACCAGGCCATCCTCATCTCATTGCCGTTAAGTCGATTCTGACTCACAGCGATCCTATAGGACAGAGTAGAACTGCCGCATGTGGTCTCTAAGGTTGTAATCTTTTATGGAAGCAGACTGCCACCCCTTTCTCCTGTGGAGCGACTGGTGGGTTCAAATCGCTGACCTTTTGGTTAGCTGCCGAGTGCTTTAACCACTGTGCAACCGGGGCTCCTTTTGGCCTTCCTCATACCTAGATCTAATCTTGCCACGTTACTTTCAGTTTCCTGAATGTGCCCATTCTCTCTCTTGCATTTGGGCTGCTGCACATATTGTTTCCTCCAGCTGAAACCCCTCTCCGCTTGGCAGCCTTCCTCCTTCTCCTAGGCTTAGTATTTGTTGCTTCCTTAGGAGGGCCTTTCCTTAGGTCACTTCCTGTGAACTCCCATCAAATCCTGTGCTCTCCTGGTAAGCTTGTGTCACTTATCATTGTCCTCCGGTGATACTACGAGGAACTTGACGCTAGAGACCACTGTCTAGCACAGTGCCTTTCATGTAATAGATATTCAGTATTTGCTGGATGGATGCATGGATGGATGATTAGGGAGCCGTGAGAGGGTTTGAAGCCCGGGTGACTTGGTTAGATTTGTGTTTCAGAGGATGACTTTGAGGGTGATGAGATGGAGACAGGAAGCTGCTGTTCTTACTCTGGGGAGGAAGCTTTGAACAAGCCAATCTAGGGCACTGGGTGGGAGAGCTGAAAAGGAGGAGATGGATTTGGGAAATGCTTAGGAGTTGAAAATGGCAGAACTGGGTAATTAACTATGGAAGAAGGTGAAGGAGGAAGCAAAGCTGAAGGCTATCTGTCCAACACGAGTGGCTGGGCAGGCGGTGATACCTCTTCCAGGAGCAGATTAGTGAAGAAAATGGTGGACCTGGTGTGGGCATGGGGTCCTGTGAGGTGTCAGGAAGCTGGTTATGTAAATCTTCAGCCTGGGAGAGGTCTAGGAGTTGTCAGAGTGTAAATGGGATTGACATCCCACAGGAGATGTGGTCCTAGAGAGAGCATGGGTGGAGTAACAAGAGTGAAGCAGCACTTACTGTGTGTGGAGGGATGCCCACAGCACCGTGCATATGCTGCCGCGGGTGGTGGTAAACTGTACATGTGGAGTTCTTGACTTATAAGATCGTAATTTCCCTGAGAGTGGGAGCCATTTCTTGTTTATTCTAAGCCCTCAATACCTCGCCTCATACTGTGAACATTGGGGATGCTCCACAAATATTTGCTGAAGAAGCCCAGAAGAACTGGCCTGTTAGGCAAGCCACTTCATCTTTCAGGACCTCAGCTTCCTTGTCTCTAAAATGGAGGTAATAACAGGGCTGCTGTGAAGATCAGAAGAGAGGGCAGATATGAAATGCCCTGTAAATTGTAACATATTTTGCAAATGAAAGGTGTAAGTACTCCAACAGGTACATGATTTCTTTCTTTTTTTTTATTGTACTCTGGATGAAGGTTTACAGAACAAACTAGTTTCTCATTAAAGTTAGTACACATATTGTTTTATGATATTGGTCCACAACCCCACGACATGTCAACACTCTCCTTCTCAACCTTGGGTCCCCTATTACCAGCTTTCCTGTCCCTTCCTGCCTTCTAGTCCTTGTCCCTGGGCTGGTCATGCCCCTTTAGTCTCATTTTGTTTTATGGGCCTGTCTAATCTTTGGCTGAAGGCTGTAAATTCTTACAGGAGACTGCCACATCTTTCTCCCACAGAGCGGCTGGTGAGTTCAAACCGCCGACCTTTCAGTTAGCAGCAGAGCACTTAACCCTTGCACCAAAATGAAAGTAGGAGGTGCCTTCATCTAAGCATAGTACACGTTTCTTCTTTGCTCCGAAGGCCTGAATCTTTCTGACTTTGCCAGAATTGGCTTTTGGTTGGCCCAGGAAAGAGGAAGCCACAAACCATGGCCCCATCCCACCCCACACACGCATACTCACTGTTAGACGGACTTTGGCCCCATGACTCTCAAAGACTTCCCAGGACCCGGCAGGACATTTTCCCTGTGGCTTCATTGACCCTGTTTGTTGGTACGTGGGAGCCTGCCTTTATGAACGGATTTTATCTGGGTACAGAGAACCTGTGGTGAATTCAGAGGTACAGACAGTCTTGGCTGGGGGGCCCCAGGAGCCCAGTCAGGACCCATGTTATTGCTGACTTCCCCATATGTAAATCTAGTGAATCATTTGGCCCCACAGGCTTGGGCTTGGGATTCAGGGAGAGGACAGTTGGCAAGAAGAGGGCAGTGGGGCAGAAATATGACTCGCTGGGCTCTGGGCAGAGTTTAAGGGTCACAGGCCTCAGCTGGTGCTCCTTCTCCCCTCCCTCTCAACACCAGAAACAAGCAAAAATATTTTCTCTGTATATACGTATAAATATAAAACCCTGATGCCATCGAGTCAATGCCGACTCATAGCGACCCTAAAGGACAGAGTAGAACTGCCCCATAGAGTTTCCTAGGAGCACCTGGTGGATTCAAACTGCCTACCTTTTGGTTAGCAGCCGTAACTCTTAACCACTATGCCACTAGGATTTCCATGTATAAATATTAAGTAAATATCCGTTAAAACAAAACTCGTTGCTGTCAAGTCAATTCCTGCTCATAGCTACCCTATAGGACAGCGTAGAACTGCCCCATAGGGTTTCCAAGGCTGTAACCTTTATGGAAGCAGACTGCCACATTTTTCTCCTGTGGAGCGGCTGGTGGGTTCAAACTACCGACCTTCCGCTTAGCAGCCAAGTGCTTAACCACTGCACCACCAGGGTTCTGATAGAGGGCTGATAGTGCCTCTTAATTGGTTTCTGGTTGGGGTGTGTGATAAAATCCTAGATATGGCGCTCATTTGTGACCCTCCAAAGGGCACAGTACATAAACAGATTTGCAGCATAAACAGATTTGCAGTATATCTGTTGTATTAAAATGGCATGGGAGGGTGGTTAGGAAAAAAAGGTCTAAAAGGGCTCCTTACAGGGATGATGGAGTTCCTGGGTGATGCAAATGGTTAACGTGCTCAGCTGCTTTCAGAAAGGTTGGATGTTCCAGTCCACCCAGAGGTTCCTTGGAAGAAAGCCCTGACAATCTACTTCCAAAAACTCAGCCACTGAAAACCCTATGGAGCACAGTTCTACTCTGACACACATGGGGTCGCCATGAGTTGGAATCGACTCAAGGACAACTGTTTTTTGTTGTTTTTTTTTTTATGGAGGTGATAATGAAAAAAATACTGTGAGATGCTGATTTAGATAACACAGGATTTTTCACTGGAGAGAGAAGCGTTAAATCAATACAGCAGTTCAGGCCTTCCATTTTGATACATTTATGAAGTAGGACTAAACCAAAACTTTTCCTTCTGCCTTGTTCAAACAAGGTGGAGCAGAACATACAGTTGGCGTTGCTAGTTGCTATCAAGTCTGTTCCTGTGAGTGGCTGACCCTGACCTGGTGCCCATGTCTCTTGGCCCCTGGTCCAACACTGTCCCCAACACCAAGTCCCCACGCTCCATGAGAAGAGGAGAGAGAGCACCCAGCTGCTGACGGACACCCAGGAGTCCAGGCATGCTCTATGGAAAGGTCAACTTTTGTCACCAGAGCGCATTAGGATGTGGACAAGGTTGGGTCCCTTCTGAGGCTGCCTGGAGGGGCTCCCAAGAGGGTCTATGGCCTCGGTATTGACCAACTTAATGCATTCCTGTGAGCAAGTAGGAAAATGTTAAATACACTCATAGCTGTAGAAGAGGGTGATGGGTGCCCTCACTGTGGCGTGTGGGTTGGAATGATCTTAATCTGGAGCCTCCTGCGGAGAGCTGGGCTCAGGATGGGCTTCTGCTCACAAGAGCTCCTGCCTTCCCTGGCCTCTGCTCACACGAGCTTCTGCCTTACCTAGCCTCTGCTCACAAGAGCTCCTGGCCTTACCTGGCACCCTGATGGGCCAAAAAAAAAAAAAAAAAAAAAGGGATAAGGAAGCCAGGGAAAAGAGAATGGAGAGACATAAGCCATGTTTCAGTGTCTTGGCATGTGACCTATTTGCAGACATTCTAGTTGAATCAGAGTTGGCTGGCTGGTACACTGTCTTCTAAAATTAAACAAGTAAAGAAGTTGGAACAGTGGCAGACACATAGTAGGCGCTACATAAATGTTAGTTGCTATTATTCTAAGCATCTCCTGCATTTGACTTTCAGGGGCTTGCCCACCACCAGTGATGCCGAGCCCTTAATACAGTTTGAACCACGTACTATAACCAAGATGGCGGGGCAGAGACTAGCCCCTTCTCTGAGCCCATGATGGCCCCTCCAGGCCCAAAGATGGAGAACAACAACAACACTGCAGACAACTCCTCGTTCAGCTGTGCCATTGACCACACCATCCACCAGACGCTGGCCCCGGTGGTCTACATCACAGTGCTGGTGGTGGGCTTCCCAGCCAACTGCTTGTCACTCTACTTTGGCTACCTGCAGATCAAGGCCCGGAATGAGCTGGGCGTGTACCTGTGCAACCTGACGGTGGCAGACCTCTTCTACATCTGCTCACTGCCCTTCTGGCTGCAGTACGTGCTGCAGCATGACGACTGGCCACACAGCGACCTGTCCTGCCAGGTGTGCGGCATCCTCCTCTATGAGAACATCTACATCAGCGTGGGCTTCCTTTGCTGCATCTCCATCGACCGCTACCTGGCCGTGGCCCATCCCTTCCGCTTCCACCAGTTCCGAACACTGAAGGCAGCCGTCAGCATCAGTGTGGTCATCTGGACCAAGGAGCTGCTGACCAGCATCTACTTCCTCATGCACAGGGAGGTCATCGTGGACAAAGACCAGCACCGTGTCTGCTTCGAGCACTACCCCATCCAGGCCTGGCAGCGGAGCATCAACTACTACCGCTTCCTGGTGGGCTTCCTCTTCCCCATCTGCCTGCTGCTCGTCTCCTACCAGGGCATCCTTCGGGCTGTGCGCCGGAGCCACGGCACCCAGAAGAGCCGCAAGGACCAGATCCAGCGGCTGGTGCTCAGCACCGTGGTCATCTTCCTGGCCTGCTTCCTGCCCTACCACATGCTGCTGCTTGTCCGCAGCCTCTGGGAGTCCAGCTGTGAGTTCGCCAAGGGCATCTTCAACGCCTACCACTTCTCGCTGCTTCTCACCAGCTTGAACTGTGTCGCCGACCCAGTGCTGTACTGCTTCGTCAGCGAGACCACCCACAGGGACCTGGCCCGCCTCCGCGGGGCCTGCCTGGCCTTCCTCGCCTGCTCCAGGACCAGCCGGGCCAGGGAAGCCTACCCACTGGGTGCCCCCGAGGCCTCTGGGAAGAGCGAGGTGCAGGATGAGGAGCCCGAGTTGTTAACTAAGCTCCATTCACCAGCCTTCCAGACCCCTGATTCACCGGGAATGGGAGGGTCCCCCACAGGCGGGTTGGCCTAGCCTGTGTCACCTGCATGTGGGACTGCCTGAGGCCTGAGCCTTCGGCCGACAGGCCTCAGTCCTAAGCTTGCTCACTGGCTGCCTCCAGCTTTGCCAACTGCAGGTGCCTCTTCCTGCTGGAGAGACTGTGGGCCTGCGCTGCTGGGCCAGGGCTGGGCCTCAGCAAGGCCTCTCTGATCTGGGAAGGCTACTCTAGCTTGCTGAGCTCCATGGGGTTGTTGAATGTCAGCTTATGGGTGTCTCTGCTGTCAGCTGGGATGCTGCAAGGCAGGGGCTGCTGTGGGAGGAGAAGCTGGGGTTGGGGGAGCAGAGTGTGAGGACATGGGGGTGGGGGAGGGGGAGATACCCAGGGCCCTCCCGCGACATCGGTGTCACAGATGATGCCTCCTCAAATGCACCAGTGTTATCTGAGATGACGCATGAAGCTGTATTGTCATCATTAACACGTGTGCCCCACCTTAAGACAGGGCAAGAAGAGAGATGAGTCAGACCAGGGGACAAGGAAGGTGGGGAGGCATTGGGGGCACTGTGAGTGTGTGGGGGGAGGGAAGCGACAGACAGAGGAGACATCCGCAGCTCAGCCATTTCCGCTTTCACAGGGAGAGTTGAGCAAATTCTTTTTTTAGCTGTGCCTTCTGAAGCCTGAGGGCTGATAGAATACAAGCTCTAGGCCTCCCCATGGTGAGTTCTGTAGTCCTGTAAAAAGTCAGTGCTGAAGCTCAAGTGCAAGACAAAGGTCTAAAGACAATGTGTCCTTAACTGAATTCCCTACACAGACTCGTCGTAACTAGATTCCTGTTTCCATCTGCCCAGAAGCACCAGATCTGAAGCCTGGGAGTGTATGCCCACACGGCTGTGTGTGTCGGGGTGTGTGTATGCATGGGTGTGTGTATGTTGGAGTGGATGGGTGTATATGGGTGTAGGGTGTGTGTGTGTCGGTGTGGATGGGTGTATGTGGGTGCAGGGTATGTGTGTGTTGTGTGTGTGTGTTGGTGTGGATGGGTATATGTGGGTGCAGGGTGTGTGTGTGTGGGGTGCAGGTGGGTGTATGTAGCTGGGTGTATGTGGGTGCTCACAGTTAAAATGCCCTGTGCCAAGACACTGAGGTGAGGGTCATGTGAATGCTGGTGGTGTCCCCAAGCAAAGGGGCTTGAAAGCCAGCTTGGACAGTGGCACAGGGTTCCCACCTTGGCTTTGCCCCCTGTGGGCCCCCTCCCCAGTGTACACTGTGGAGTATCTAGCAGTCTCAGAGAGGAATGTGACATTCTTCCTGAGTTCTCAAATACAACACAACAAACATGGGACAAAACAAGCAAAACAGATGCACTCTCTGTCCTCTTCCTGCCCCAAGGCCTGGGGTTCGGCTCTAGGTGGCTTAAATGCCCCTTTGACAAGGCAAGGAGGTAGCCCTGGGCTCACCTTGCCCCATTTGTTCTCCATCACTACTCCTCTGCCGATGTCCCACCTCACCCACCTGGAGAGTGACTGTGGTTTTGTGGGCCACATAGCACAGGGTACTGACCTGTGCTCTGTCCTGGAAGGCTGAGTACTGGGCTCATCTCTCCTGCAACTTTGTGTCTGACCATGTTGAGGTATCCCACCTCCCACCCCACACACAGATTTCTCCTGTTCAATTTTGCAGCAAAGCCTCCTGCCTACAGAGCATCATCCTCTCAAAAGTTGCTGGAGAGCTTCGAGAGGATCCATGGGGCCCTTCAGCCTCATCATACTCTTTCACTCCCAGAGACTTTGTTTCTGCAAAAGGACAAGAGGTGCTTGCTGCTTCGGGAGACCCGTCCATCTTTACAGAAATGCGGGCCCTTTGGATTTCCTGGTCGATGGGCTGAGGCCAGCTCTGACTTCCAGGGCATGCCCTCAAAGACCTGGGAGTCTAGTTCCTCAGAAGGGGAAGCTGACTTCAGTAGAATATTTTTGAAATCTGCTAAAGGGAGGCCCAGGGAGGACCCCCTTCCTCAATCTCCCTTCCCCTCTCCTCCCTACCCTCCAAGATGTTAATCCTTTACCCATGATCTTTTAACCCTTCTGTTGGGGTGCCCAGAGGCAGGTAGCCCAGGCAGGGTGTGCCCCAGGGAAGGGTGATTACTTAGGACCTCAGGGCTACGTTTGGCTTTGACTGGGCAGCCCCTGCCCCAGCTCCTTATGGAAGGCCTCCAATGACCTGGGAAGGCTCTCTTCCCCTTTCTAGTGGAGGAAGTGATTGAGTTTGAAGGTGGCAGAAATGGCCACAAGCCAGGGAGAGCCCACCCAGCCCCAGCCCAGGGTCCTACTGGGCCCACTCAGCCCCAGCCCAGGGTCCTACTGGGACAATGGCACTGGTTGAGTCATCCACTCCTCCTCATTCCACAGTCCCGTTGCTGGGGAGTTGATTCCGACTCATAGCGACCTTATAGGGCAGAGTAGAACTGCCCCATAGGGTTTCCTAGGCGGTAATCTTTACAGAAGCAGATTGCCCTATCTTTCTCCCGGGGAGCAGCTGGTGAGTTCAAACCGCTGACCTTTCGGTTAGCAGCTGAGCCCTTAACCACTGTGCCACCAGGGCTCCTTCATTCTATTGTAACCTTATCCACCTGGCATTCCCACTGGGATGGACTGGGATGAGCTGAGAACAATTCCATTTACTATCAAGAGTTGTATTTTTGTATTGTCCTTTCTTTTACGCCAAGTATGTATGTGTTGGACTGTGCAGTGAATTTATGTTGCAAATAAAGCAAAATAACTAACCAGCTACAGCTGGAGGACGCACAGTCCTTACGGGGGAGGGTGTCTTCCACTACAGGGGCATCTAGAGGGCCCCTGAAACACCCAAAGGAGCTAGGAAAGTCCAGGGATTGACCTCACAGAAAATTCAAACAAAGCAATTGAGAGCTTTGCTACTGATCACCCAGCTGGGGGCAAAGAAGGAGAGAGCCCTTGAGTGAAGTAGAAGGCTTCCCTCTGCCTTCTGGAGATTCATGGTGTCAACCAGCTCTTCCGCATGTTCTTGCAAATCCACTCTAGGATTTAACGTGTTCACCACCCTCTTGAGGACAGAGTCCAGCCCTGTTGTTGGAGATACCACTCCCGGCACATGGCCCCTTTTACCTGCTGGGTAGCTGCCCCCACGGCGAGGGAGGGCTTGATCAGACAGTCTCCTCCTCAGCGAAGATTTCCCAAACAGCCCTGGGAAGGGACTGTTGTCTTTTTCTTTTTGGGGCTGTCCTCAGTGACTGTTAAGTTTGGGGAGACCCACATTTGTTGACAAGCCCCTTTAGGCTGGAGCATCTTCTCAACAGTGACAGACTCCGTGTTTACTGCTAAGGATTAACTGAGTCATATTAAAATGTAAGTTTGATTTTGGTTGCTTAATCCCTCTCTAGGTCAGGCTCCTGGAGTCCTGGAGTGTTTGGAAGAGTGGCTCCTTCTTCCAAACAGACTAAGTGAGGACATTAGTGGGGATTAAAACTCCTTTTTCTCCTAAGAGAGTGGGTGGAAGAAAAGGTCCACATGGTTTGGACCGAAGGTGGCAGAAGCCATTAGGTTCCTTTCTTACTCACCAGTGTTGCTTAGTAAGATGAGGGTTCATCTTCCTGTTTACACACACTGGTCTGTGGGTTGGCCAGATAAGGGTGGGAGAACATTTCATCACAGAATACATCTCCATCTACTGCATTTCTCTAGCTGGTTCAACCTAGAAAGAGCCAGAATCTGTTCCTCCTAGTTCAGTGCTTCTCTGGAAAACCTACTTCTCACAGCTGGTGATCCTGGAGCCTCCATTCTGGAATTCATCACTGGAGTCACTTGGGCTTTTGGGTTCTGGTATTTGACGACAACTCTCATATCCTATTTCTCAGTGTTAAACCTTCCAAGCTCATATTAGGAAAGGCTGGATTATACTGTGATAAAACCCTCAAATCACAGTGTCTTAAAACAATAGAAGTTTCTCTCTTGTTTATGCAAAGTCCAATGAGAGGCTGCTCTTTTTAGCAAGTCTTTCCCAAGCGATGAAAGTGATTCAGGATCTTCCATTATCTTGGGAGTTTTCCCCTTCCATCCACATAGGAAGGGAAGGCAGCACCAAGAGAATCTCACAGGGCATTTATGGCCAGGTCTGGAACTGGTTGGTATCCCTGCTACTCACGCTTCATTGGCCAGATCCCAGTCATATGGCCCCAACCTAACTGCAAAGGAGTTTGGGAAAGTTACACAGGAATAGGAAGCAAAATTGGTGAGCATCTGGCCAGTCTCTAACAGAGACTGACGGGTTGTAAGCTCTCACCTTCCTGTACCTTCATCTGAACAAAATCCACTTATTCAAGTGTCATGCCCAGATCTGAGTGTCTTACGCTGGGTTCTCTAGAGAAGCAAAACCAGTGAAGCGTATATGTAAATATATATGTTGTTGTTAGGTGCCATCGAGTTGGCTCTGACTCATAGCGACCCTATGTACAACAGAATGAACCACTGCCCGGTCCTGCGCCATGCTCACAATTGTTATGCTTGAGCCGATTGTTGCAGCCACCATGTCAGTCCATCTCATTGAGGGTCTTCCTCTTTTTTGCTTACCCTGTACATTACCAAGCATGATGTCCTTCTCTAGGGATTGGTCCCTCTTGATAACATGTCCAAAATATGTAAGACGAAGTCTTGCTATCCTTGCTTCTAAGGAGCATTCTGGCTGTACTTCTTCCAAGACAGATTTGGAGCCTTGTTTTTTGCCAATGCCTTCAGTGCAGCTTGGACCTCTTCCTTCAGTACCATTGGTTCTTGATCGTATGCTACCTCTTGAAATGGTTGAACGTCGACCAATTCTTTTTGGTATAATGACTCTGTGTATTGCTTCCATCGTCTTTTGATGCATTCATTCTACATCGTTTAATGTTTTCCCTGTAAAATCCTTCAATATTGCAACTCAAGACTTAAATTTTTTCTTCAGTTTTTTCAGCTTGAGAAATGTTCTTCCCTTTTGGTTTTCTAACTCTAGGTGTTTTCACATTTCATTATAATACTTTACTTTATCTCCTCGAGCCTCCCTTTGAAATCTTCCGTTCAGCTCTTTTACTTCATCATTTCTTCTATTCACTTTAGCTACTCCATGTTCAAGAGCAACTTTCAGAGTCTCTTCTGACGTTCATTTTGGCCTTTTCTATCTTTTTAATGACGTCTTGCTTTCTTCATGTATGATGTCCTTGATGTCATTAAACAACTAATCTGGTCTTTGGTCATGAATGTACAATGAGTCAAATCTGTTTTTGAGATGGTCTCTAAATTCAGGTGGGATATACTCAAGGTCATATTTTGGCCCTTGTATACTTGTTCTAATTTTCTTCAGCTTCAGCTTGAACTTGTATATGAACAATTGATGGTCTGTTCCACAGTTGGCCCTTGGCCTTGTTCTGACTGATGATATTGAGCTTTTCTATTGTCTCTTCCCACAGATGTAGTCGATTTGATTCCTGTGTATTCCATCTGGTGAGGTCCACATGTATAGTTGTGGTCTATGTTGTTGAAAGTACTTGCAATGAAGAAGTCATTAGTCTTGCAAAATTCTATCATGAGATGTCTGGCATCATTTCTATCACCAAGGCCATATTTTGCAACTACTGTTCCTTCTTCTTTGTTTCCAACTTTCACATTCCAATCACCAGTAATTATCAATGTATCTTCATTGCATGTTTGATTAATTTCAGACTGCAGAAGTTGGTAAAAATCTTCAATTTCTTCATCTTTGGCCTTAGTGGTTGGTGTGTAAACTTGAATAATAGTCATATTAAATGGTCTTCCTTGTAGGCATATGGATATTATCCTATCACTGACAGCATTGTACTTCAGGATAGATTTTGAAGTGTTCTTTTTGAGGATGAATGCAATGCCATTGCTCTTCAACTTGTCATTCCCAACATAGTAAATCATATGATTGTCCGATTCAAAATGGCCAATACCAGTCCATTTCAGTTCACTAATGCCTAGGATATCAATTTTTCTGTGTTCCATTTCATTTTTTGATGACTTCTAATTTTCCTAGATTCATACTTCATAGATTCCACGTTCCAATTATTAATGGATATTTGCAGCTGTTTCTTCTCATTTTGAGTCGTGCCACATCAGCAAATGAAGGTCTGGAAAGCTTGACTCCATCCACACCATTAAGGTCAACTCTACTTTGAGGAGGTAGCTCTTCCCCAGTCATCTTTTGAGTGCCTTTCAACCTGAGGGGCTCATCTTCAGCACTATATCAGGTACTATTCCACTGCTATTTATAAGGTTTTCACTGGCTAATTTTTTCATAGGTGACCCTGCTGGTACTTGAAATACCGGTGGCATAGCTTCTAGCATCACAGCAACATGCAAGCCACCACAGTACGGCAGACTGACAGATGCATAGTCACACTGAGTGAGACTAAATCTGCCTGACCCACATGGAGGAGAAAGGGACCATTTACCTCACATGCTTCTATTGATGCATTGACTTTTTGGCAAGCACTTCACATCACTGACATATAGTGAGATTAGAAGAATTGCTGCTAAACCACATCTTCTCCATCTTGCCTAGAGCAGCTGGTCTTTTGAGTCTGAGAGAGTTCATTGTAGAGCCAATGGAACCCACATGTGATAGGCAGGAAGTTGCAGAATGAAGTAGGCTAGAGGAAGTTGGAGCTGTTGTCAGCAGGGCCAGTGCCATGAGAGGGAGAAAACGACCTCAGAGGAATGCCTTGCCCAGCTCAGTGATGGGGAGGCACTTGGCCAGAGGACAGCCAGGGAGCT